GCCGCTCCGCTTCCCGGGCTCCCCGCTCCGCTTCCCGGGCTCCCCGCTCCGTTTCCCGGGCTCCCCGCTCCGTTTCCCGGGCTCCCCGCTCCGTTTCCCGGGCTCCCCGCTCCGCTTCCCCGGCTCCCCTCTCCGTTTCCCGGCCATGCCGAGCCCGGCTCGCACCGCCCCGGAACCGCCGCGGCTCCCGCAGGAAGGGGCGGGCGCAGGGGAGGAGCCGCGGATCCCCATTCAGGGGGGCCTCTCGGAGCGATCAGTGCCCGGGTGGACTAAAGGGGTTAAAAGTTGTTATGAAATGGTTTGGAAGTGAAAGGAATGATCARTGTTTTTATAAACAAGTTATGGGGTTTGCTGGTTAATAAGGCTAGATATTGACAGGTGAAAGGAGTAATGGAAGGAACTATAAATTCCATAGGAATTCTATTAATTGATGCAGACTGTTTCTCACTCAAGACAGTGCCAAATCCTTGGACTTAGAGAAAAAGAACAAAGAATAAAAAAGGGGGAGGATGCACATTAAATGGAATCTGAATTAAGCGATTCGGGGAGTCTGTACCTGTCAAGCACCTCAGCCAATGGGGAAAGAGAGAGTGAAATGCGGCCGGGAAATTGGGATAAAAAGGAGGCTGCGTCCTCTAACAATTTCAGAGACCCCATGGAAATGGCCCATGGCCTCTCCCTTTATTCGAATAAAGTTCCTCCTCTGTCTCCTTTTTAGACATAAACCTCTAGTGTTTGTGGATTAATTTTCCTAACAGAAGGGACCGTAACGATGATCTCGTTCCACCACCCCGTGCCACGGGCACCTTCCACTATTGCGGCCAGCCTGGCCTCGGGCACTGCCAGGGATCCAGGGGCAGCTCCAAATTCTCTGGGCAGCCTGTGCCAGGGGCTGCGCACCCTCACAGCCGGGAAAAAGCCTTGTTCCAATAAACTGTTAGATATGGAATGACAACAGTTGAAACAGTACTGCAAGATAAAGGAGATTATTTCTGTAGGAAAAAAAAAAAGAAAAAAAAAAGAAAAGAAAGATAAAGATCTATCCAAATCCAAACCGAACTATTTTTTTCATGTGAAAGTTACAAGTAAAGGCAACATTAGTATTTTTCTGGGTTTTTTTCCGCAAAATACTGTAAACAAAAAAAGATCCAGAAGAGGGCGACATTCGCCGCCGTTCTGAACCTCTGATGMGTAAACGCTTTCAGGTTGGTGGAAGATGCTGCAATGTTTTGAGAACAGAGGGTGGAACAAAATAAAAAAAAGGTAGTGTTAGAAGACAGAAAACGTTGAAATAAAAGGAGTTCATCAGACTGCTTCYTTCTCCAAAGAAAATGGAGAAATGTGAATGGCTAGATGCTACATACAAAGAATCTTTACAAAAAATTTAGGAGAACAAAGCTAAAAGCATTTTRCTACTGCTAGTGACATCATGCTCTGAACACTGCTAATAATTCCTACTTCCTATATTAAATTTAACTCATTACATTCCAACTGTTTTTCTGCTTTTTTAGRTGGCAAATCCATTGGGAGTTCACCTTGGTATAACAAATTCTATGCAACGGTACAGACTTTTCAGTTCTTCCATAAAACATTTTTGGTGGGTTCTTCTGGATGATGGGGATCCTTTGTTTCAGCCTTACCGCTTTCTTGAAACTTAAATTTATGCAGTATCCAAATTCATTTGCAATTCCAGAAATTGCTAGGCACATAATATGGAAAGTAGCTAACATTCTTAAGAGGAAATTGCTTTGTTATGGAGGCAATGAAAAGGAAGGCTAGAGCTAGTAGAACTAGGAAAAATATTTGATTTAACATAGCTTTTAAAAGGCTCGATRTACCCATACTGAGATCTTCAAGGTAAAAGTCTGAGTTGCTAAACTTACAAGCCTGATAGTTATCATCACACCATATTTCATAGGAGTTCTGGTGTTTTTAAAAAATTAGTACAAAGGCCTACTGAAAATTATTTTWATTTCAACTTGAAGTTCAATTATTCTCTCCCCTCAGTGCCCGTGTAGCTCTTCTAGGAGGCGGGGGAGGCAGATTGCTTGTTCCACTTCCAGACAGGTCACTTCCGTGTTCTGCTGGCGTGTGTCCTTTTCTTTCTCTATTATATCTGACAGCTTTCCTCCCCCGAGTCTGTTTTTTGCCAATCACTGCATCTGTGGAGGGCCAGTCAAAGACCTCAGGCTCAGACAAAATTCATCTGCTCTGCTGTGCTTACGTGATGCAACAGATGGAAGCAGCGAATGAGTCTGAGCTRCCCAGTTTTCAGTAAATCAAATATACTTCTGTGATTCTTGCCAGACAACGATATCATCATATCCAAGTTACACGTATCCCTCTAGCATTTTCAGATCAGAAAAACAATTCCTGGTCCCTTGCATACACCTCAGGTCTCCCCTTGTTCAAGGAATAGTTCTAGATACAAGAGACTAATTGAGCCAAGTGAGCCTTTCCTGCCTCAGCCACAAGATGATCTCTGAAGCCTTTACTGCCCTGAAATGTATTTAAACAGCCAAGCCCCAGCCCTGTGGTCCTGCCTAACTTGCCTTTGCCTCCCAAACCTGAAYCTTTTTCTTTGCTGTAGGATCCTCACTCATGCAATCCTGAGGACATAAATCTGATTTGGCCAATGAGACCATTTCTTACGCAAAAGCTTCAGCAAGGCTTCTCTTCTGATTTCAGTCTCAAACACTCCTGCCCTGCTCAGCCAGCCCCTATTTCTAGCCTTTAGCTAGAGATACTTGCTGTTCTACAGCTAATACTWGCCACCCCTCAAGGTTAAGTCTCTTGATATGCACTTATATCATTCCCTAACAATGTCCTGGTGAATTTTCCCAAGCTCAGCCTGATCTCCAAGCCTGCAAACTCTCCCCACAGACGAGGGACTATCCCTGAGCAGGACTGCTGGGAGTCCTGTGCCTGAGCACAGCTCTACAGCCTATGTTAATCCCAGCCCAAGCCTGGCGTTTAAGCCTAATGGTGTTAGGGTACCGAAGCCCCGATTACAGTAACCCCTGTGGTAGTTTCACTGTCATTTGTGATCCCCTACCTTATACTACTTTGGTAGGAAATGCATTAGTTTCTTATAATGAATTTTCCTATTTATGTATAAATTTATTACATAAAATATTTAGAGGGAATGGATTTAATTCAAAATCACATCTTTAAAACTGTAGTTCTCAATGTTTGCTCTTGGTTCACACAATTATTCCACAGGAACGTTTYCTCCCATTTTTCCCAAAATTTCAAGTGACATAGAGCTCTTGGTCAAATCTTCCTGCTTTCCAGCCTTTGACCTGAGGCATGGGATCACGGGAGGAGAGAGGGTAGATGCTGCCAAAAGACGGGATGTGGATGTCAGGACCATTTCCTCAGCACAGCCTCCCAAGAAGGGAATATTCCCAACACTATCACTTCTTTGTCATGACATGTCCGAATGCCCTCTGCCCCATACTCCCATGATCC